AATATTGATTCATTGACAGAAAACAATAGTTGGAGCAAGTATATAAATAGCCTAACTTAAGACAGGAATGATTGTTTGAGGCGATTATACAATTTCGCATACAGTTATAGAATCTGAAGCTATTGATATGCAAGATCTCAAGCTTCATAGCTTCAATCAAGTAATACACAATTCGAAGGGGCGAATGCTCCTAATCAGGTGATTAGAATTTTCCCCTAGTTCCCCACACAAGTTAAAATCCCTAAATTAGCTCACACACATACGCTCCTTAAATAAAGCATTATGGCTGAAGGCACTCTGCAATGTCGATACCTGTGGCTCAAGTGCAGTGACTTTTGTTTGTGCTTTACTTGCATTGCCGAACGTTCCACCAGAAACTTCATGGGCAATGCCGCTTCGAAAGGAGACCAGCTAAATGAAGAGATCAGTAAGAAGAATAGAAAGGAAGAGAAACAATTAACTATCTGTCATGAAATAATGTTATATTGACTACTTCTCATATATATATGTGTAAGCAGCGAGCTAAAAGTTTAAAATAAGTCTGAAGGACTCATAAACTTACTTCGTGGTTGCTCGACACCGCCACAACAATTTGGAACTTTGAAGCTACAGCTAGCTTTTGTTGAAAATGAATTGAAGGCGGAGATGGAGCAAAATCGTGGACGTGGGATATAGTAGAAAGGGGATGGCACTAAAAACCAGCAAGTTGAAGGCACCAATCATTGGTCCGAGGATAAATCAAAGTAAGCCTAAGAATATTGTAGATGAAACGAAACCTACCGCAAATGTTTGCATCGTTGCTCTCTATCCTGCGTATATGGACAATCTAGAGAAGTTGAACTTGATGTAAGGAGCTAATAAGCAATAAAAAAATGAAATTTGGCAATTTTTGAAGTCAAATAGACACAGCTCCAGCAGAATTTAAATCACTGAAGCTGGGGAGGCGCAGAAAGTGAAGATGCAGACCAAGCATTTGCATTACGGCTGCTGCTTACTGGCTTCCACCAACCGTTCTCTGCCGACATCTTTAATGAGGAACTGGGCTATTGACTCGTTTCTTTTTCGATTTCGAAATTTTATTAAGTTTAATGACTAATCTCAGATAGGTAACATTATTCTATGTTAGAAGAGGAGATTTGACTTCCCTCCTTGCTCTCTAATCTCTTCCACTCCTAATTACTTGCTCTCATGTCTCTTATATTTGATTCGTCGATGCATCCCCTGACCGAAAGTTTGCAGGATGTCAAGTTCTTCTTCGTATTCGGGTAGCAGCGCCGTTTATAGCGATTCGTCCCGTGCCAGTACACCTGAGCATCATGGTAAACCGCACTATACTCCTTAATAATCTGCTTATATATTCGTATTTTCTTGAAATACATATCTTTTACAGCTGTGCCACCTCCAGCCAACGTAGCAGCTCCTGCAATAAGTGAAGAGCCTCCATCTGGAGAGAATCCAGCAGAAACAACTGTTCACCCTGAAGAAGAACGCATTTCGGAGGGGGATGACGACCCATTTGCTTATTCGTCGCATGTAAGC